CACTTCCGGCTTTTTTTTCTGCTTATGTGGTGCTGAGGAATGGAACCCAGGGCCTCATGCATGCAAGGCAAGCACTCTACCACTGAGCCACCTTCTCAGCCCCCCACTCCTTTATTCTTGACAAATGCAGTTAATCCATAGTAAGGAACCTCATATTTCCTAGAGAAAAACATTTTTTTTTTGTGGGATAATTCTACTTAGGTGCTTTGCTACATACCATTATAACACTGTAATTTTTGTGAACACACCTTCTTTTAGACAATGAAAAAAGAAAGTAATAGAGTTTAAGATATAGATGAGAAAAATTATTTTAGGTTAATTCTTATGAACTCAGGTGTTATTAGTCAAAGTATGTTTAGTAGATAAATCAGAACATTCAGTAATACAGTTTTAAGTTTACTCATTGTAAAATAGGTTTTCTATATATATATAAAAAGAAAACCAAACATAAATGTTAAAATCAGTACTTAATGGTTTGACATCTACAACATCATAATGCTGGTGCTTGTATTCAGCATTCCTACAAAGCTCTAAGAGGTGTGAAAGGGAAACCCTGTAGCAGATCTCTTCTTTCTACATTTTGCACATTATGTACCTCCAAAGCCAAGGCTGTCTTGTCGTAGGCATTAGGGACTCGCTTCTGGATAACCCTGGCATAAATGGGCCCATTCTGGAGGTTAGGGAGCGGAGTGTTGACGCTGGGTTGGGCATAGGGCCCAGGCTCCGGCCCACCCAGTGGCTGTGGGTGGGAACCCTCCTGGTTACCTCCAATCAGGGCCGATACTGAGGCGGAGGCAGGTCTATACTTCTCCACGTAAGGGACTGGGATCATCCCCCTCTTTCCTTCGCTGTCCTCCGCATTCCACCACTGCTCTTCAGGCTTATCCCGGATTCTCAGGATGTCTCCTTTCTTAAAGGGAAGATCTTCTTCATCATTCCCATTAAAGTCAAAGAGGGCTCGCACATACTCTGCCTCCTCTGGCCTGAGAATCACTCCACTACTCTGCCTAGATCTGGAAACTGGTTCTATCAATGTTGTAGTGTCCAAATAGTGTATTTTGTAGAATTCCAGTAAAGCAGGCAATGAATCAAACTCTTGATCTCCTATCCGGAGTCTGGAGGGGCTCACCCCTGAAAAAAACAGAGCAGAGTGTTAAAGATGTACTATATTGAAGATGGAATACAGATTTCAAGCACTTCCCACACACATTTAGTCAATAATCAGGAAAAAAGTTGAAGAGGGGCCCTCTACATAGTATATAGGAAATACTTTGAAAGGAGCCTACCACCACAGGGTGAGCATGGGAGAGCAGTGCCGGGCTCAGAAGGACAAGAAGGCCACTTGGGCTTACTCTCTTTTCTTTTTATTTGCCAGTCCTGCAGCTCGAAATCTAGGCCCAGGTGCTGTTCCCAAGCTTCTTTTGCTCAAGGCTAGCACTCTACCACTTGAGCCACAGCCCCACTTCTGGCTTTTTCTGTTTATGTGTACTGAGGAATGGAACCCAGAGCTTCATGCATGCTAGGCAAGCACTCTACCACTGAGCCACATCCCCAGCCCTGGGCTTACTCTCATATGACCTCACAGGGGCTCTTATTCATTGCCCCACTCTATCTAGTTGACACTGAATACAAAGTAGTTTAAGATATAAGGTTTTGGAAGTCATCAGGCTTGATCCAGGACCAGGGTGCTGTCTCTGAGCTCCTTTGCTCAAGGATAGCACTCTGCAACTTGAGCCACAATGCCATTTCCAGTTTTCTGGTGATTAAGAGTCACAGACTTTTCTGCCTGAGTTGACTTTGACCCACTATCCTCAGATCTCAGCCTCCCTATTAGCTAGGATTACTGATGTGAGCCACCAGCACCTGGCAGATATAAGGTTTTGTTGCAATCTTTTTAATCTTAGGAAATATATCAAATTCTCCTCCTTATTAAGCCCTAGCAGCTGTTTCAGGAAAAGGTGGGAAGAGACTGGCATCTATAGTGAGCTCATGTACTCTCTTCACATCTAGAACACAATTCCAAAGAACTTTCTTTTTTTTTCTTTTTTTTTTGGGGGGTGCACGTCTTGGCCAGGGCACTGTCCCTAACTTTTTTTGCCCAAGGACAATGCTATTCACTTAAGCCACAGTGCCACTTCCAGCTTTTTCTGAGTACTTTATTGGCAATAAGTGTCTCATGGCCTTTCCTGCCCAGGTTAGCTCCCAAATGCAATCATCATATCTCAGCCTCGTGAGTAGCTCAGGATTACAAGTGTGAACCACTGACTTATATCCTATTCTTAATGACAGGAGGGAAAGAAACTAAATAAAAATCCATTCCCAGTTTTTAGAGGTTCACAGAATAGTGAAAGGCATGTATATGCCATGGTTGCTTAGCAAGGAACAAAGCAGCATGTCTTAGGAAGACATTCCCCCCAAGGCCAGCTTTTATTTTAAAAAGAGGTGTGGGGCTGGGAAGTTGGCTCAGTGGTAGAGTGCTTGCCTTGCATGCATGAGGCCCTGGGTTCAATTCCTCAGTACCACATAAGCAAAAAGAAAAAAAGCCGGAAGTGGCACTGTGGCGCAAGTGGTAGAGCCCTAGCCTTGAGCTGAAGAGCTGAGGGACAGTGCCCAGGCCCCACGATCGGACCCCCCCCACCAATAAAAAGAGGTGTGTACCTATCAAAATTAGCAGCAACAATAACAATAAACTATCCTGACACACAATAACTCACAATGAAAAGGCAATTCTGATCACCTATGATCAGAACACTTTTTACTCTAAAAAGGAAAGTAACCACTCCCTGTCCATCCATTGTTATTGTTCCTCTATTACTGTTCTAGGCCAAGTAAAACCTGTATTTTTCTATGGAGGGTGGTAGTGGTAGGGAATATTAGAAGAACAAGTATGACCACTAAGCCATGTCCTTTCAAGATCAGTGTGAAAAAAAAAAATTGGCAGCTCCTCTGGCACAAAGAAAGAAGTGGGTTTAACCTCTTATTCTAACGCTACGTGGTGTAAGCTGGTCTCATTGACTTCCATTTATTTTTTGGCTTGGCAACTCCAACACAGAAATACAAGAAAACACCAAAGGAAAGCATTGGCATGTTTTACCCATAAGTTATTCTTTCTGTTACTAATGCTATAATAATTCCAGAGGAACGCATGGTTTTGTTTACTATTAGACAATCAGAAATATACAGGGCAAGCAAGTTCCACTGATCCAAACTCCAGAGGGAAGCTAGGAGAAAATAATATATATAAATCCCCGATAAGTCCAAACCTCACCACAGCTATGTGATCTGGCTCTTTTCTCGCCTTCCAACCACAGCCAAACGCAGGAAATAGAAGGATGGGAAAGGAAGGAGTTATAGTCAGTCAGTCTTGAGGATAGGATTGACAGAATTCTCATAGCTATCTAGGACTTAAAAACCAGGCTGAGTTCTGAATGTGTAATTAGGAATTAACAACCAGAAATAAAAATCAAGGCAAGCAGCTGAATATCCTTTTGGCTTCTCTGTATCTGATCAAGGGATTTCTTCTAAGCACTTTAGCCCTCAGATTTCATAAATACCTGAGGCTCTCTGAGCCTCTAGCAAGACACCACCAATTCCCCTTCCTGAATCTCATATTCAGAGGCATGGTTAGCCTTTTTTTTTTGGTTAGTCGTGGGGCTTGAACTCTGAGCCTGGGCGCTGTCCCTCGGCTCTTCAGCTCAAGGCAAGTGCTCTACCACTTGAGCCACAACACCACTTTTGGTTTTCTATTGGTTCTCATGGACTTCCTTGCCCTGGCTGGCTTTCAACCTCAATCCTCATATCTGTCTCCTGAGTAGCTAGGATTATAGGCCTGAGCCACCAGCACCCAGCTAGGCTTTTTTGATTGAATACCACACGACTTTCTCTTACATTCCTATTCCATCTCTTCCTATGGTATTTATATTCCAATAATGAGTAAAAGGCTGCTGAGAAGGAATTTTAAAGACTACAGAGAAATATGGTCGTCTAGCCATTGGATATCATCAGCACAGAACTCTGCAGATTCTGACTCTGGCCCTCATGCACTAGTTATATGAGCTGATTTCCAACTTCTCTGTATCTTAGCCTTTTATTCATTCACATCAGATCAGAGGTTGAAAAACTCAGCACTTCCTCTTATACATGAGCATAACAAAGATTTGGAAAAAATCTTGCAATAAATAAATCAATTTTGTTTTATCATGGATTATTCTTTGGTGCAAAATTTCCAACTAACACAGTGTAGAATTTCCCTGAAACTACTAAGGGAAGGATCTAATTCTGGAGATTAAGACAGGAAAAGCAAGCTTGTGAATTATAAAGTTAACAAGATACAGAAGCTGAAGGTGACAATGCAGGCACTGGTAATGAGCCAGAGAAGTGGCCTGGCCAGCACTAACTTGAAAAGGAATCAAGAACAATTACCACCCAACTTCTGTTCGCCATCTCCCAAAAGCCAGGATCTTACTAGGCAAATGGAAGCTACCTGCCCAGCCAGAGGCAAACTTTTTTTTTTTTTTGAGTATTGGGGTTTGAACTCAGGGCTTTGCACTTAACTAGCCAGTGCTCTAACTTAGCCATTTTTCTAGTCTTTTTGGCTTTAGTTACTTTCCCCATAAAGTCTTGAGCCTTATGCCCAGGACACCTTCAAGGACAATCCTTTTAGCTATGCTTTCCACAGTGCTAAGATTGAAGACTTGCACCACCAAGCCCAACTTGTTTATTCTCATGGGACTCTTAGTAACTTTCTGCCCAGGTTGACTTTAAACTGTGATGCCCATTCCCTAGTAGCTAGGATTATACATGTCATGAAGCTCCGGTAAGTTTTTTTTTTTTTTTTCCTCTTTGCTGGTCCTGTGGACTGTCCAAGACCTTTGTGCTCAATGCTAGCACTCTACCACTTGAGCCACAGCACCACTTCTGGTTTTTTTCTGAGTAGTTTATTGGAGATAGAATCTCATGGACTTTCCTGCTTGGGCTGGCTTCAAACCAGGATCCTCAGATCTCAGCCTCTGGAGTAGTGAGGATTACAGTTGTGAGCCACTGGCCTCAGGCCCCAGGCGTTTTATGCTTCTTCACCCATTAGGGCAATAGGGGGTAGGCTTTGGGCTGAGAAGGTAGCACCAAGTACCATGCTGTCACAAAACAAATCCCAAGTTCTTTCACCACTTTTTCCCCTTGGAGACACTGGGATTTTTATGTGGGGCCTACACTTGACTAGACAAGCATTCTATCACTTCTAGCCCTTTTGTGCTTTAAGTTTTTTTTCTAGAAAGGTTCTTGATTTTTGCCTGAGAACAGCATTAGACTACCTCTGCCTTTCACATTTCTTCATGTATCCCATCTCTTCCTCTCTAGCACTGTTTCTAGAGGCACGTTTCACCAGTGTTTATACCAACCCATGCTGTGTAGGCCAATGAGCATCAAAACTGAGAATGATTTTTTTCTTTTTTTTTTGCTGCATTAAAGTCTGAACTTGCTGGGCAGATACTCTACAGCTGAGCCACACCTCTAGCTGTTTTTCAATTTTGTTTCAACTACTCTCATTATGTTCGTAACATTAATACTTACAACTTTCAAAGTACTTAATATGCGTATTATGTTCCTAAGTATTTAATGTGTTCCAGCTTAACTCTGTAAGGCAGTATTTTCTCTTTCACAGACAAGGAACCTAAAACAAGGGAAATGTTTTTTGTTTTTTTTTTAGGTCCGGTCGTGGGGCCTGAACTCAGGGCCTGGGTGCTGTCCCTCAGCTCTTCAGCTCAAGGCTAGCACTCTACCACTTGAGCCACAGCGCCACTTCCGGCTTTTTTCTTTTTGCTTATGTGGTGCTGAGGAATCGAACCCAGGGCCTCGAGCATGCAAGGCAAGCGCTCTACCACTGAGCCACCTTCCCAGCCCCAAGAGAAATGTTATGTAACTTGTCCATAGTTACAAAGTGGGCTAGGAATGTGGCTTACTGTAGAGTGCTTGCCTAGAATGCATGAGGCCCTGGGTTCAATTCCTCCGTACCACATAAATGAAATAAATAAAACTTAAAGTCCAATAGTCCTTTATAGGACCATTAGAAGCAACTGTGAACTAAATTGTCTGATGTTTACCCAATCTGACTCTGGGGCACAACCAGGGATTCTCAAACTATAGCAGCACAGCCGGCCTTGGAGGAGCAAAAGAACTAAGGTAAGTCAAAACAGGCCACTCAAAAAGGTTGTAAAGGGGCTAGGAAGGTGGCTCAGTGGTAGAGCGCTTGCCTTGCATGCATGAGGCCCTGGGTTCGATTCCTCAGCACCACATAAGCAGAAAAAAAAGCCAGAAGTGGCACTGTGGCTCAAGTGGTAGAGCACTAGCCTTGAGCTGAAGAGCTAAGGGACAGCGCCCAGGCCTAGAGTTCAGACCCCACTACCGCACCCCCCCCCAAAAAAGGTTGTGAATCCTTGGACCTATTCTACCCCTAGAACTTCTACACCTATGCCATTCCCTACAAATTATACCTATCAGATGTATATACTACACTATATAACCCTTAGTAAAAAGTTTCTCTTACACATACTCAATGTGCCACATCGTTTAGGGCTTAAACACAGGGCCTTGTCTATGTTAGGCAGTCATGCTCCATGACTGACTTTGATGTGTATTATCTATACACTAAAGCCAGTTTTTCTCTTGCTAGCCCTTTCTTTTTGATCTTTAAACATAACCTGGGACCCCAGAGCAGAGACAACTGTCAAAGAGAATCTTTTGTGCACACTGCTGGAATCCCAAGGAAAGAGTAAAAAGTAAAAGGCTCATTTCTCATATCCAAATTCCTGCACTCCAATTCTAGTCAGTCACATATGAGCTGTATGACTTGAGGCAATTTACTAAATCTGACTCTCAGTTCACTCCTCCATAAGGTGCAAATCTTTTTAATGATCACAGTATTTTGCTATTATTATAGTAAATGAGATAAGGCACATGTAAAGTACTTAGCAAACAAAGTACATGACATAGAATAACCAGTCAATAAATGTAAGCCATTAATATTGTATATGCCTCTCTGAAATTCAAGAAATTCCTGTGTGGTTGTATATGCCTCTCTGAAATTCAAGAAATTCCTGTATGGCTTCAAAAGAAAAAGAACTTGATAGGGAAAACAAAGACTAAGTATTCATTATAAAGACAGCAATTGAATCAATAACTATACAGAAAATGGAACACATGGCAGAATAAAGAATTACTATAATACCCATGAACTTTCCACACCCCATCTACTAACTCCAGTAATCTTTACTTCAGGACCTGAACACTTAACTGTTTTGTAAAGGTGGAGCTCAATATCAAGTTAATTATTGAAATATAAAATCACAATGCCAAAAGTATGGAGGAATAATCAAGCTAATCAACAAAATGCATGCATAAACAAAAGGCTGAAAGTTGAATTTCAGTAACATTATGCCATCCTGTTAATGCATTTAGTAGAAAACTTAGATACCTTGTAGCTAGAACTGAAGCAGGATTTATCTGGTTTAGGGCAAATAAACGTTACAGCACTGAGAAAGATGTAGGATAATTTGTGAACTTAAGTCCCCACTCTTCTTTTTTTTTTTAAATAAAGTGCCTACCTATCCATCTTCTTGCTACAGTTAAGTAAATCTAAACTGGAACTACCCTACAAAGGCTGGCCCAGAAGCCTAACTCACACGAGCCTGGACTGGATATAATCTCAGCTGGTCAGGAGGAAACTGCTTCCATCTACAGTGAGAAGGCACTTAGGACCTTTGGTGTTGTTTCAGCTATGCTTCGATTACTACTCTAAGTATCGCTGAATTACCCTACATCCCATGTTTCCTTAACATTCCCCAATTAAACCCAATAATGTACAAGAATCACATCTCCATGATCTCTGACAGGGAAGATTCAGCAGGGTCGGTTAACTTCTCTAAGGATCTCCCCAACAGTCTGTTCCTGATATCCAGGAAGACTGAGCCACAGTCTTACCCACTTCCTGGGTAAGGAATGGACCAGGCAGGACAAGACTGACAAATGTTGAAGCCCAAGGCAAATGAAGCTCTGTTCATTCTGCGGAAAGGGATTGTCTCCACTCGCTTTTGTCTCGTTAACAACAATCTTTTCCTCCACTAAGCACTTTGAAAAGGAGCAGCTCCTAAATGCAGTGGAGCATCTTCTGAACCTTAAAAATGTCTGGGACACAGCCAGCCAGGCATTCACTTTAGGCCGGTCTGGTCCTAGATGGCTTTCTTCTACCACCAAAGCACTTGATTCACCACCTTCCTCCTCCCCAGGGGGAAGAGAACGGTAAAAAGCCTTCTGGAAAAATGCCCAAGAAAGGAAAAAAGCTGACCGGGTTTCCTGAGGGTGTCTCCATCCCTCCCGGCCAGTATGTGGTGACTTCCTACCGAAGGCCACCAGGGGAGGAGGGCCAAACCCAGCTCTCCCCAACACTACAGGAAATGTTTCCAACCTAAAAGCCACTTGTAGGATTATGGGATTCATTCTGAGCACCGCTGCCAAAGTGATGCCCCCGCAGTGCCAACATCCCCCCCCCCCCCCAAGCCCTTTGTCACCACGTTGCCTGGCCCGGGCCCCAGTCCCGGTGCCGGCCTCGGGCGCTAAGCCCCACCCTGGGGCCGAAGCAGTTCCCCTTCCCCCGGGCCGGGTCGTCCTCCAGGCACACCCTGAGGCCCGGGTCAGTGGCCTCTCCTCCCCCACACGCTCCCGCACGCCCTCTCCTCCTCCGTGGGAACCGGCCTTCCTGCCCCCCACGTCCCTCGTGCAGGTCCGCTCGCCGGGAGCAGCCGCCGGGCCCCGCTGGGAGTTCCGCAGTCCACCCCCCACCCCCCCACCCCGCCCGTCCGTCCGTCTGTCCGTCCGTCGGTCCCTCACCGGGCGGAGGCTGAGCGGGCGACGGTGGCACCGGCGGGCGCGGGCCGCTGCTGTTGATGATGTAGTGGGAGACGCGCGAGTTCTCGGACACGCTGAGCACATAGTCCCCGGGGCTGGTGCTCGAGTCCCGCACCAGGAACACCCCGTGCCGCTGGCCCTGCAACAGCGCCACCGCCTCCTGTCGGCTCAACCGCCCCCAGTACCAGCTACTCCTCTCCTCCGAGTCGAAGTTGCAGTGCTTGCCTAGAATGCATGAGGCCCTGGGTTCGATTCCTCAGCACCACATAAGCAGAAAAAAAAGCCAGAAGTGGCACTGTGGCTCAAGTGGTAGAGCACTAGCCTTGAGCTGAAGAGCTAAGGGACAGCGCCCAGGCCTAGAGTTCAGACCCCACTACCGCACCCCCCCCCAAAAAAGGTTGTGAATCCTTGGACCTATTCTACCCCTAGAACTTCTACACCTATGCCATTCCCTACAAATTATACCTATCAGATGTATATACTACACTATATAACCCTTAGTAAAAAGTTTCTCTTACACATACTCAATGTGCCACATCGTTTAGGGCTTAAACACAGGGCCTTGTCTATGTTAGGCAGTCATGCTCCATGACTGACTTTGATGTGTATTATCTATACACTAAAGCCAGTTTTTCTCTTGCTAGCCCTTTCTTTTTGATCTTTAAACATAACCTGGGACCCCAGAGCAGAGACAACTGTCAAAGAGAATCTTTTGTGCACACTGCTGGAATCCCAAGGAAAGAGTAAAAAGTAAAAGGCTCATTTCTCATATCCAAATTCCTGCACTCCAATTCTAGTCAGTCACATATGAGCTGTATGACTTGAGGCAATTTACTAAATCTGACTCTCAGTTCACTCCTCCATAAGGTGCAAATCTTTTTAATGATCACAGTATTTTGCTATTATTATAGTAAATGAGATAAGGCACATGTAAAGTACTTAGCAAACAAAGTACATGACATAGAATAACCAGTCAATAAATGTAAGCCATTAATATTGTATATGCCTCTCTGAAATTCAAGAAATTCCTGTGTGGTTGTATATGCCTCTCTGAAATTCAAGAAATTCCTGTATGGCTTCAAAAGAAAAAGAACTTGATAGGGAAAACAAAGACTAAGTATTCATTATAAAGACAGCAATTGAATCAATAACTATACAGAAAATGGAACACATGGCAGAATAAAGAATTACTATAATACCCATGAACTTTCCACACCCCATCTACTAACTCCAGTAATCTTTACTTCAGGACCTGAACACTTAACTGTTTTGTAAAGGTGGAGCTCAATATCAAGTTAATTATTGAAATATAAAATCACAATGCCAAAAGTATGGAGGAATAATCAAGCTAATCAACAAAATGCATGCATAAACAAAAGGCTGAAAGTTGAATTTCAGTAACATTATGCCATCCTGTTAATGCATTTAGTAGAAAACTTAGATACCTTGTAGCTAGAACTGAAGCAGGATTTATCTGGTTTAGGGCAAATAAACGTTACAGCACTGAGAAAGATGTAGGATAATTTGTGAACTTAAGTCCCCACTCTTCTTTTTTTTTTTAAATAAAGTGCCTACCTATCCATCTTCTTGCTACAGTTAAGTAAATCTAAACTGGAACTACCCTACAAAGGCTGGCCCAGAAGCCTAACTCACACGAGCCTGGACTGGATATAATCTCAGCTGGTCAGGAGGAAACTGCTTCCATCTACAGTGAGAAGGCACTTAGGACCTTTGGTGTTGTTTCAGCTATGCTTCGATTACTACTCTAAGTATCGCTGAATTACCCTACATCCCATGTTTCCTTAACATTCCCCAATTAAACCCAATAATGTACAAGAATCACATCTCCATGATCTCTGACAGGGAAGATTCAGCAGGGTCGGTTAACTTCTCTAAGGATCTCCCCAACAGTCTGTTCCTGATATCCAGGAAGACTGAGCCACAGTCTTACCCACTTCCTGGGTAAGGAATGGACCAGGCAGGACAAGACTGACAAATGTTGAAGCCCAAGGCAAATGAAGCTCTGTTCATTCTGCGGAAAGGGATTGTCTCCACTCGCTTTTGTCTCGTTAACAACAATCTTTTCCTCCACTAAGCACTTTGAAAAGGAGCAGCTCCTAAATGCAGTGGAGCATCTTCTGAACCTTAAAAATGTCTGGGACACAGCCAGCCAGGCATTCACTTTAGGCCGGTCTGGTCCTAGATGGCTTTCTTCTACCACCAAAGCACTTGATTCACCACCTTCCTCCTCCCCAGGGGGAAGAGAACGGTAAAAAGCCTTCTGGAAAAATGCCCAAGAAAGGAAAAAAGCTGACCGGGTTTCCTGAGGGTGTCTCCATCCCTCCCGGCCAGTATGTGGTGACTTCCTACCGAAGGCCACCAGGGGAGGAGGGCCAAACCCAGCTCTCCCCAACACTACAGGAAATGTTTCCAACCTAAAAGCCACTTGTAGGATTATGGGATTCATTCTGAGCACCGCTGCCAAAGTGATGCCCCCGCAGTGCCAACATCCCCCCCCCCCCCCAAGCCCTTTGTCACCACGTTGCCTGGCCCGGGCCCCAGTCCCGGTGCCGGCCTCGGGCGCTAAGCCCCACCCTGGGGCCGAAGCAGTTCCCCTTCCCCCGGGCCGGGTCGTCCTCCAGGCACACCCTGAGGCCCGGGTCAGTGGCCTCTCCTCCCCCACACGCTCCCGCACGCCCTCTCCTCCTCCGTGGGAACCGGCCTTCCTGCCCCCCACGTCCCTCGTGCAGGTCCGCTCGCCGGGAGCAGCCGCCGGGCCCCGCTGGGAGTTCCGCAGTCCACCCCCCACCCCCCCACCCCGCCCGTCCGTCCGTCTGTCCGTCCGTCGGTCCCTCACCGGGCGGAGGCTGAGCGGGCGACGGTGGCACCGGCGGGCGCGGGCCGCTGCTGTTGATGATGTAGTGGGAGACGCGCGAGTTCTCGGACACGCTGAGCACATAGTCCCCGGGGCTGGTGCTCGAGTCCCGCACCAGGAACACCCCGTGCCGCTGGCCCTGCAACAGCGCCACCGCCTCCTGTCGGCTCAACCGCCCCCAGTACCAGCTACTCCTCTCCTCCGAGTCGAAGTTGCAGTGCTTGCCTAGAATGCATGAGGCCCTGGGTTCGATTCCTCAGCACCACATAAGCAGAAAAAAAAGCCAGAAGTGGCACTGTGGCTCAAGTGGTAGAGCACTAGCCTT